ACCATGACCACAGCAACTCTTATAAAGGAAAGCATTTCACTGGGGCTGGCTTAGAGTTTCAGAGATTTAGTCCATCGTCATCACGGCAGGGAGCATGGCAGCATGCAGGCAGACATGATACTGGAGAAGCAGCTGAGAGTTCTACATCTGGATCCACAGGCAGCAGGAAGAGAGGAAGCCACTGAGCCTGGCTAGGGCCCTTGAAACCTCAAAACCCACCCCGCAGTGATACACTTCCTCCAACAAGGCCACACCTCCTAATCCTTTTAAATAGTGCCACTCCCTGGTGACCAAGTTTTCAAATCGATGAGCCGATGGGGGCCATTCTCATTCAAACCACCACATATTCCCTAGACCCACATGATGGAAGGAGAAAACCAGCTCCCACAAGTTGTCCTTTGCACTCCCTCACACACACAGACACACACACACACACACACACACACACACACACACACACACACACACAATAAGTAAATAGACACAATGTTCCAAAATGAGGTCCCTGATAGTACCTGTTCGTATACTCCCAGCAATGACCAGCGAAATCATGCTTGGGAGGAACTCAGTTCATCACGGTAAACCAGCAGGGTTTAGTGGGCTAGCAAGAGCACTACTGACTATTCTGTGCGATTCTGCCCCCAAACTTCCTGAGCAGATCCTGTGACTGGTCACATCAGCCGGGTCAGGTCACCTTCTAACCTTGGCCCGAGCTGTACCAGCAGAGCTTCAGGAACTTTATCCTCAAGGGATAGACCACCTCTCAGGCAAGACAAGACTAATTCACAAAGCAATTAGTAAAAATCACAAGATAACTTCAAAGTACTGGCTTGTTGGGTGCAGGCTGTCTGTGTGCTGATAGGAAGATGGGTTTGTATGGCACTGAGAATGTACTTTGCACTTAGAAAGCAATCTGCTATTTCATGGAATTCTCAAAACAAACCTGCACACAAGTGGTCTGAGCAGCAAGCAGAAGAGGAAACTGAGGCCCACACAGATGAAATGGATGCTTCATTCTCCTGCTACCAGCAGACCCATGACTTAGAAAGATTTCCACCTGCTCCTAACATCATTTGAAATAGACTGACTCCTGCCTTTCCCTGTTAAGTGGTACCTGTGCACATGAGGTGGTATGTGTGTGCGTGTGTGCATGTGTGCATGTGTGCGTGTGTGCGCGCGTGCATGTGTGTGTGTGTGTGTGTGTGTGTGTGTGTGTGTGTGCGCGCGCTTGCTCTGGCTGGCATTGTGGCACATCACAGACCATGTGGCTTTTCTCTCTGGTTTGTAGATTGACTTTCCCCTCAAACATCATCATCTTCCCTTTGTGTACATGTCTGGGTCCTTTCCTCTTCTTACAAGGACACCACCCACATTGGATTAGGTCTTCCCTGAAAGACTTCATTTTAACTGAATTGCTATTCATTCCTTTGCTTGTTTGTTTGAGACAGGGTCTTAATGTGCAGTCTTGGTTGGCCTAGAACTCAAGGGACCATCCTGCGTCTGCCTCCAGAGTGCTGGGACCAAAGGTGTGTGAGATCACTCTCACTCTGAATTGCCATTTTAAGCCTCGTCTCCAACTACAGTGATGTTCAAAGGCATTGTGACTTACAGTATCTGCAGACTAATTGGAGGGGACACAGTTCAGCCCAGAATGGTGTTAGACAAGGGTCAGCGCACCTTGAAATTATCTCTCAGCCTCTCTTCCCCATCCTGTCCCCAGGACTCCTCCTGGCCATTTGCATCCCATGCAGTCTCTCACCTAAAGCTGCTGTGTCCTGTGCCTTTAGTCTGGGCTCCCGCACAGCTGCGGCGGCTTCTCCATGATGGATCGGTCTCCAGGCAACCACAGCTGCAGCAGGCCCTGGTGGACCTTCTGGGAAAACACAGCCAGGTTCCCACAGAAAGCAAAGAAGCGGGGAAGGGCCAGGAAGCAGAGTGGGGAGCCCAAAGAGGAGGGAAGAATAGGAAGCTGAAAACAGCCAGGGGACCCCACAGGAATGCAGCTGGCTCCCCAGAGGAGCTGTGATGAACACTTCACTCCAAACCCAAAGCCATACTGAGGTGAGGCCATCTCCACAGCATGTTACCTGACATCCCTGAACCCCAAAGCTCCTTTGTAAACGGGGACATGAGGAGCCAACCATGTCACGCCGCCATCAAGATCCCGTGAACTAACTTTTGTAAAGCAGTGACTGACACACCGTAAGTGCTATCAGGAGCACATTATGACTTTGTTCAATTTACTTAGTTGTGTTTATTATTATTGTGTGTATATGATGTGAGTAGATTCTCTCCTTCTCCCTTTATGTGGGTTCTGAGGACCAAACTCCGGTCACCAGGCTCGCACAGCAAGAGCTTTCCCTGCTGAAGCATCTCACTGGCCCCCTATGGGGATCTTGCTCTACGAAAGTATTTGAAAACTGTTGAACAATCGTCCAGTAACCCAAGCTGAACTGTGCTGAGGGCTGGACTGATCCAGAGCTTTCTCAGAGGCTCTGATGAAGGGACAAAAGGCACCTAGTCTTGTGTCCTTGCTCGGGTGTAGACTTGGCAAGGCCCGGCTGGGGCTGAGACCAGGGCCTCAAAGGAGTTAGTTTCAGTTCCTGGGAACTTGGCTTTCCCCCTGAAAAGACTTGGTGTTATCAGTTCCAAGACTGTTGTGTGCTCAGTCTGTGATGCTCTGGAGATACCTTGTATCCTCCTTGTCCAACACTGCTTGATTAGCCTCCGCTGATTCTGTCCCACTGTTGACTCCTGTTTCTCCCCTGGAGATAGTATATAAGATGCTGTACTTCTTTTTAGCTTGCTTAGCTCAAGACGTGGCTCATGCAAGACGTCCTGATCAAACACTTTATTATCTTCTCTATCTTCTGATCTGGTCCTCTCTCTCAGGACCCTGTCACTGAAGAACGACCTCCTGGTCCAGGTCAGGACTATACTGTTTTCTTTTGGTTTTACAAAAGTTAAAGGCTGGGTAGATGGCTCAGTGGGTAAAGTGCTCACCGTACAAGCCTGAGGACCTAAATTTAGATCTCCAGATCCCATCTAAAAGTCAGATGAGGCGGCATGCAATCCCAGCACCCCCGCAGCAAGAAGGGAGGCAGAGACAAGGGATCCCAGGAAGTGTGCAGGCCAGACAGTCTGCCATATGCAGCAGTGAGCAACAACACATGCATAAATGAGAAACAAAATTTAAAGCATCGTCATGGATCTCAAGCAGTATGGTGACCCCTGAGCATTGAGTCAGTCCTAGCCAATCGGTAAGTGGCCCTAGAAGTTCCACGTGTCTGATACTATGCCTGGTGACTTGAAAAGGAATGGCCCCATAGACTCATATGTTTGTATGCTTGGCCCATAGGGAGTGGCACTATTGGAGGTGTGGCCTTGTTGGAGGAAGTGTTGACACTGTGGGGGCGGGCTTTGAGGTCTCAGATGCTCAAGCCAGGCCTAGTGTAGCAGTCAGTCTTCATTTTTGCTGCCTGCTGAACTCTCCAGATGCAGAACTCTCGGCTCCCTCTCCAGCACCACATCTGCCTGCATGCTGCCGTGTCCCGCCATGATGAGAATGGACTGAGTCTCTGAACTGTAAGCCACCCAATTAAATGCTTTCCTTTATAAGAGTTGCCATGGTCATGGTGTCTCTTCACAGCAACAGAACCCTAACTAAGACACTGTGGATGGTAGCGTCCCAGAACCTGTGATGTGCTGTAGCCTGTAAGGGTCACTGCCATTCCTTTAGAGTGGCCTACCACTGCTGCCCCCAGTGGGTCCAGCATCCCTACTCTTCTCTACTGAAGAGTAGAGCTGGTTCTCAATAGCTACCTTTCCAGTGGTGGGCTTCCTCCAGCACTCCCTCTGTGGTACCCAGGTGCCACAGAGATGTGGATCTGGCACGATCTGATGGGGCAAACCAATCAGACTGGTTCTGGGTGGTGAGCATTCTCAGTCCTGGGTGAGGAAGTTCCTGAGGCCCAAGTAGATGAGGGCAGAGCAGCCGTAAGGGTAGGGCAATAGCATCCTCTAGTACTAAAAATTTTCCTCTACTCACCGCCATCTCTGTCTTTCTAGACGGAAGTCCGCCATCCAGGGCATGAGGATTGCCACTGTCACTCATGGACTTGCGTTTGCCTGACATTTCTCCTTCTGCCCATAAGAGCCAAACCCAGTAACATAAATAACTGAATAGCTAGATGTCTTCATTGGTACATTGATGCCACCATGGCTTTCTGTCCCACATGACCTTCAGTTTTGTAATCAGCTACTTCTATCCACACCACCAGCCCAGGCTCCCCTGCCCCCTGCCTGTTCTGCTGAGCTAACCTGGTGCAGCAGGTGGATGTGGCACGTGCCTCGGCATCACCTCAGGCTAGTGGGGCTGCCCTCAGCCCCGCAGCTCTGCTCTGCCCCTTCCAACTACCAGAGCTTTTATGCCAGGGGCTTCCCAAGGTTTCAGCAGGTTGAAAGCAAGTGACAAGGAGGGCCAAGGCTCTGAACTTGGTGTGGTGGCTGAACAAAGAGAGATCCAGAGACCATGAGACCCAGACTAACATGTAGGTGAGCAGCTTCGCGTCACGGGTCCGGAATCCCGACCCCTTCAAGCTGAAGCTGACCCTAAGTCCAAGGCTCATCACGTGTCGCCCCTGAAACTTGCATATTAAGAACGATGCTGCCAAGCCTTTCCACATCAGCCACCCTCCACCTCAGCTGCTCACTCTTCCCCTCACAGAACAAAGGCAAGTGAGCAGATCCCCAGGAATCTCCTGCAGCTTTCCCCAGAAGCAGGGACACAAGCTGCTCAAGGTCAACTATCCTTGGGATGAGAATATATATATATATTTAAAGACACAGACTGACCATGGAGATCTGGCTGCCCTGGAACTTTCTATGTAAACCAGGCTGGTTCAGAGCTCACAGGGACCTGCTATCTCTTCCTCCTAAAGGCTGGAATTAAATGTGCTGACACACCCAGCTGGGACAAGGAAGTTTAAAAAGGATTTATTTTTATTATTTTAAATTATAGGTATGCGTGTCTGTATGTGTATCTGCGCACATGAGTGCGTCGCCCACGGAGGCCAGAAGCGTCAGAACTCCTGCAGCTGGAGTTATACATGGTTGTGAGTCACCGGCCATGGGTGCTGTTAACTAATCTTGGGTCCTCTGGAAGAGCAGCAAGAGTTCTTAACTACTGAGCCATCTTGTCCCAGTGAGTCCCGGGACAAGCGTCTTCAAACCAGTGCCAGCCTGGCTATTCTGAGGGGTTCACAGCCCCACCATGCCAGCGCTGGGACACGCCCTCAATTGTGTCCCGCAGCATCTGCATCCAGTCATCTCCTCTCTGCATGGGGAGGCAGCGGGTCTCCTTGTGCTCCAGGGCTAGGATCTCTGCAGGAGTCTGGGGAGTCAGCCCAGCAGCCTGGACTGCTTCTGGGAATTTGACTGCAGAGGCAGAGGCCAGGCAGCACCGGGAGATGCTCCTGAAGATGGGGCAGGACAGGAGAGAAAAGAAGAAGGAGATGGAGGAAGAAGACCAGGAGAAAGGTTAGGGGAGGGGCAGGGGTCGGGGCAGAGAGCAGAGACAGACAAAGACATGATTAGTACCTTGAATTTACCTGTCTAAGAAACCTACAAAGTTTCCCAATGAAGACCCAGCTCAGCCATCACCTCCCCTCATGACCTGGGATATAGTTCACTCCTCTCCTAAACAGCTGTAGTTCTTGGGCACAGAACCCACCATCCTCCCAACATCACTATCCTTAGCCTTGTATGCCCTGCTTGGAGAAGCGCGGTGCCCTCAGTGCCCCAGACCTCCCTGCTGGTACCTGGACTGCCCACTGTCAGTCTGCTGGTAGTGGTAGTTCACCGCTGTGGCTGAATGGGGGCACAGCAGGTACTGGTTCTCTTCCCAGCAGCGGCCCATGGTCTGGGTGATGGCCTCATCAGACACTGACTCAGATGTCACCGCCTCTGAAAGCTGAAGGGTCAGGGGACAGGGGTGAATGTCGGGATTGGTGAACCACAGGAGGACTAAAACCCTGCTATATACACAGCCACACCAACGCCAGGAGCTCCGATGAATGCTCCAGACTGAATACTGACCCAGCTCAGAGTAAAAGCAATTTCTGAGTTTTGAGCCAATTGCAGTTTTGAGCCTACTTAGCAGAAGGATTTATACAAGTTTTGGCTACAATCTTAATGTATTTAGATCACGCATCAAATTAGTACAGTCTTGTTCTATAGCCAGATACAGCCCAAGTCACGGGTGTTCAAACCACCTGTGGTGTGAAAACTTCCCTGTCAGTTCCCACCCTGTGTTGGAGCACCTCCCCTGGGAAACCTTCTAGTACTCACAGGCAGAGGAAGACTCCCTTCTCAGTGCTCCCTGAGCACTTGGTTTGCCAGATAATTTCTTGAAG